AACTTGGACGAAGACATAGAAGTCATCCTTATCAAATGTACCGAAAACACAAAATGAGAAGATAGCAAGTGATAGACGACAGAGTCAAAATTCAACCTTATCTTGACAGGCTGGAGTGCAGGGCCCAAAAACAAGCTGAGGCTTAACAAGAGTAAGCGTGAAGTTCTACATTTGGGATGAAAAATCAGTTCCACGTATTCATAATGGGAGAAGTTTGTCTTGGCCGTAGTTTGTGAAAAGGTCTTGGGGGTTTTACTTAACCACAAGTTTCATATGATCTTGATGGTATGATATGACTGATAAGAAACGTTAACTTCGTTTCATGCTAAATGACGGTAGGGTGTCCAAGGCAGCAGATGTAATTCCTTCGTTGGACTTGGGCTTGATCAGATCACAACTGAAGGTTGCTTTTCCATTTGGGCACTGTATTTTTAAAAGAATACCAGCAAGTGATCACGAAGGCCAGGTTGTGGGGAATGCATTCTGGAAGTGAGAGAACTTGAACTTGACAGGGTCAGTAGACGGATAGACAGTCAACTAGGCTATATTCTGCAGAGGAGGGTCTGTACTTGTTCTGGGTTGTTCAGAGGGTAGAACTAAGGCCACGGAGTGGTCACTTCACGCAAGCTTATCCGAGGTGAATACAAAGAAAGAAGAGTTTTGTAGCAGTTAGAACCGTAGGGACTTGAAGGGGACTGCCTTTCGCCCTTGATCTGGGCACGTGCCTCTTGGGATGCTGTGGAAAGGATTCCTGCTTGGACAGGAGCTTTGACGAAAGGATCTCTAGGGTCCCTTTCAGCACTGAAAACCCAGATTTCTGGAAGGGGAGCATACCATTTATTTTAATATGATGATTGAACTTGAAAGACTACTGCAGAGGAAAGAACTATGGGTACATGTGATATGAAGAATAGGCTGAGATCCATATGTGCCTGAAAAACCAAGGAAGTTGAGGGTTATTAAGACGTTTATATTTAATGTGTAAAGCACATGTGCAGACTTGAGCCTCTGTCTCCGTCCACTGCTCATTTTGAACCTGCCTCATTACTTGGTGCCCCTTCTTTTCTGAGAGCCCTTTGATAACCTTCGGATAATGTATAAAGGAGTTTCATTCTTTTGCTTCCATAGCTTTCCCTGATTATCTCTACACATAGAAGTTCGTACTTAGGAGGCTGTTGTGGGCTAGCCTGGGACTCTAGCCATCACATGAAGCAATACTTTTGTGGGAAATGTATTTCAAGTCCAACAAGCAGTGTATGGACTTTTGAAACGTGTTGCATTGCAATGCTGGAGAGACCCATGCTTCTTTTGCCTTGTGACGATTCACTGCACACCACCTTGGGGCCTTTTCTAAGCTGGGCTGTGGGCTTGAAAGCCCCTCCTTGCTCCTTGCTGCCAATGATGGCAGTTCCTGAAATTCTAACACTTCCATGAATCAAGCCTTCCTGTTTCTCTTCTACTGCTCTATTGAGAAATGGATTTTATTAAGGCGCTTTCTTCCCCAAAAGGAATTTGGGGAATCTTAAATAACGTCACGTAATGCAGTACCACAGGAAAGAAAAACATGGTGACTAGGTCCAAGTCTTCCATCCCCATAGCGCGCTTGGGTGCCTTCTCTGAGTCCTTATAGTGTGTGGATTTAGGGTCTCTGTTTTGCTGTCCTTAGCTTCTCAAGCTTCTAGTCCCTGCATAAGGTGTAGGAACTTGGTGTGGCTATGTTTTAATGATGCTGGTACCAACGAGAGCTTTTAAGATGGTTATAGTATTCAGAATTCTTGGTTGAAGCAACTTAAATGGACACTGGCTGGCTTAAGCAGGTTTAAACAAATGAAAAGCTGTAGTGCGATGCACAGAATGATTGGGAAGGGTGGAGAGCCGAGGATGGCAGACGGGAAGGTATAGAAGAGGCCAGGAGGCCAGAGCCACAGCCCAAGTCATTCTCCAGAGACCGTCTGGTGAGGATGCTGCGGGTGTAGCTATTGCCCCTGGACATAGCCCTGGCCCTGCCGATGTCACTCCTCTAGAGCAAATTCTTCACTCTCACCCCACTTTTTATTTGTTTATTTTTGCATCACTTGTTCTATATTAAAATTTCCAGGTGGGAGTTTCTGATTTGCTGTGCTTCGGTCATGTGCTCAGGCCTCACTGTGGACTTGGGTGTTGGGAGGGGTGTTTTATGTTTTAGTTTCTGGAGGTGGGCACTGCCTCTCACAAGATGAACATGGTTGGGAGTTCCTTAAAGGAAGGGTTTCGGATGTTAGGCAGTTAAAAAAAGAAATTGCTGAAAATTAATTTGTTTACATTTCTGTACCAACTTAGGAAAATAAAATTAGATCAGGGTTTCTCAGCTGTGGCACATTTTGGTATTTTTGACGTGGAGGTCTGTCCCGTGCATGGTAGGACGTTTAGCAGCATTCCTGGCCTCTGGCCACTAGATGTCGGTGGCAGCCACCCAGGTGTGACAATAAAAAATGCTTTCAGTTATTTCCACATGTTCCCTGGGGGGTAAAATCCGCCTGGCTGAGAATCACTGGGCTAGAGGCATTCTCAAACCACGGATTATGATTTGATAGCCTTGCAATGATGGCTGTATCACAGGAATGGATCTTATACTACTGTCCTTGGAGAGAGACAAAGCTTTCCCCACCTGGTGCCCTTCCCCTGCATGCGAATGTCTGAAATTTCAGTCTTCACCTTAAGTGTACTTAAGAATCCGCTGGAGAGCTCTTTGAAAGACGTGAATTCCTGGGCCCTGCCTCTGTACAGTTAGATTCTGTGGGCCTGAGGGTCCAGGAATCTGCAAGTTTTAACAATGAACCCTCGTGATTCTGATGCGGGTGGGCTACGGACCACACGTTAAGAAACACATAGCTCCTACGTGGAGTATTGGCCTCAAAAATAAAAGGCATGTGTTTCTTTAAGGAGAAGAGAGACGCTTTTGAGGCTTTCACATCTTTTCAGTTGTTGATTAAAAAGAAGCAAGGTAAAGATGTAGTCTGTTCTTACAGGAGTTTTTGGCAAGGGTTGTTTGGAAGCAGCCTTGACATGTGATGCGGGCACTCATCGCTCTCCATCGCCGTCAGCGAGAAGTGTCTTCTGTTTGGAGCTGTGACTTGCCTTTCAATCCGCCTTGGGAAACGACCTTTCGCTTCAACCGCCACCACCCCCCATAAGTATTAGTCAAACCTCGCAGGGAGGTTTTTCATGCTTTCCAGTTCTCCCTGGCCTGTCTAGTGGCCTTGTTCACGGACGCCCTAACCTCCACAGGAGCAGAGTCAGCTTCACTCTGCCTGTGGAGCCTCCACGGTAGGAGGTCCCACATTCTAATTGTGGGTGGAGGAGATATCTGGTAATACCTGCGACACAGCTGTGGCCCTCCTGAGCCTCTGCGCTCTTCTCTCAGGAAGCCTTAAATCTGAGCACGAAGATTCCACCCACAGACACAGCATCTTGCAGTTTTCTACCGTGTTTGGGGGGCAGGGTGCTTACTTGAGCTCCTTGGTTCTCTTCTCACTTCTGCTCTGGCTGGGACTAGACACAATGCTATTTCCGACAGCAGTTTTTCTAAAACTCAGATCACGTGGCTTTGGTTCAAAGCCTTTGGTAGTTGCCCGTTGATCAAAGAACCAACTCTCCATCATTCAAGACCCTACCCTGCCTTTCCAGCTATTCCCTACCATGCACCCTGTGTTCCAGGCTCCCCAGGCTGTGCTGACACCCTGTATACTGACTATACTCGGAACGCTAACTATTCTAACACCCTGTTTTCCAGGCTCATCAGACTATTCTATAGACTAGTGTGCAATACCCCGTTCACAGATGGGGAGCTTGCCAAATATTTTTCCTCCAAAAAGGAATTGGTTGCTAAAATGTGATATTTCCCAATTTTTAAGAAGTCTGGACTTTATTTCTCTTGAAAAAGTAAAAGATGTGACAGTTACCATTGCCCACATTCCTAAGTGGTGACTGTCTTGCTCTTGTCCCAAGCAGGGGCTTGTTCTCTCCATAGTGTCCTTGGATAAAGGGAAGGGGAAGAGCCGTGAAACTTTACCTTCCCATATCCCACAAGAGGGCAATATAATCTCTCAAAAAGTAAAAGTTGCAGAAGCTGCTAGCCTGGCCCTATCACCATAGTGAAGTCATTTGGGCGCCCACCTGCGTTTTGCATGCTGAATGGGCTTGCAGCAGGCTGTGTGCTCTTCACCCTTTCACGAACTCCTTTCCCCTCCAGATCTTAATCAGTTAATCTGAAAGCCAGTTTGAGCTAAGCGTGTGCAAGCAGGGCCTACAGTTAGCTTCGGGAGCTGCCTCTCAGCCTAGGTGGAGGTCGTGGAGGTCTGATGGAGGCTGATGAGGCAGGATTGTTTCTGGGAAAATGCCTGATCCGTGGACACAGCCTAGCATTTTTCGGCAGTGCTTCTCACTGGCACGGAATCTAGCTTGTCAGCACCCCAAGAGCTGAGCCGTCACCCCTGGGCGTGCCTTAACACTAACCAGACCAATAGAGACTGATGCGTTAACCCAAACGTCTATTTCTCGATTTAGAATGAGACTTATCTGCCGAGGGGGCCTAGAAAGTCAGTTTTGCTGGCCAGAGTGTACTTTCCTTTCAGAAAAATTAAGAGTAGAAGCCAAAATATAGTTGCCAGGTTGCTTGTCTGCATTCTGAGCAAGGGGAGTGCTCTGATTTGCTCATTTGGAGGTCCCATTGTGATGTTCTGACGCCCCCGCCTGTAGTGAGGGGCTGGCTGCGTGGAGCATCTCTGCCAGGCTTCCTTATGGGAGCAGTGCTATGGGTGCCTTCCCATGTTTGCCTCTGACTCAGTCTGTGCCCTGCCCCTATGGTCTGTGCCAGATGTACAAGTCAGTAGATAACGCCATAAGTTATTAAATTACATTCGCATGTGCCATTTTTTGCTTTAGGTCCTGTTTACATCTTAGCTATTACAGATGATTTTTTTCTTTTTTTTGGCCACGCCCTGTGCCATGTGGGATCTTAGTTCCCCGAGCAGGGATTGAACCTGCAACCCCGGCAGTGGAAGCGCGGAGTCTTAACCACTGGACCACCAGGGACGTCCCGTATTACAAATGATTTTATTAATTTAGGCCTAAGTATTTTGGGCAGTGTTAGGGTTGAGGCCCCTTAGCACCTTTGAGTGTACCTGAAGATATCGCAAAGGTTTAAGAAAATAAAACTAGCTCTTAACCGCATATGGTGACTTAAGTACAGCTAAGTGAAAACAAAGGTTCCAAATCTTACTTTCTCTTTTGGCTTTCTTCTCTTTGCTTGCCTTTGGTTAAAACAACAAAGTGGCTCATCTTTGCCTCATTGTTTCCTCTCATTTCTTTTTTATCCATCCTAAATGCTGGAAATTTGCAGTGGTTTAATAAGAATGTGGGGCTTCCCTGGTGGCGCAGTGGTTGAGAGTCCGCCTGCCGATACAGGGGACACGGGTTCGTGCCCCGGGCCGGGAAGATCCCATGTGCCGTGAGCCATGGCCACTGAGCCTGCGCGTCCGGAGCCTGTGCTCCGCAAAGGGAGAGGCCACAACAGTGAGAGGCCTGTGTACCGAAAAAAAAAAAAAAGAATGTGGAAGTATGGAAAAGTGGGGGAAGAGAAAGAGCATATATGGAATAATTGGGTCTTGGGTTTTTAAAAAACTGGCTGTTAAACTTGTAAATTTTTTTCTGTGTCAGTTTGGGTTGAATAAATAGCCACATGACATTAGGTAAAGTTAATACTGAATTAAAGATACATACACACTAGCCTATGAATCCTTTTTTTGCCTTCATTTTCCACTAATTTGCCTTCAGTTAGAAAGGATGTTGACCCAGCCTCGGGTCTTACAGTCTAAGACTTAGTTCTGGACAGGTGAGGGGTGTGAGTGCTGACTGGGAAACATTTCTGGTCATTTTCACTCCTGCGCTCAGTTTAGTTGAGGGGGAATCTCCATAGGCTGCAGGGTGTGTCTCCTTGGGTCCGTTTGTTGCTAAAATCACCCATGGTCCTTGGGCTCTTGATGCAAAGGGAGGAAGAGATGCGTGTGTGTTGATGCTGTGACTGTGCCCATCCCTGGCTCCCTCATCAGAGAGGGGGCCATGGCTCGGATGCCTCCTTGGGTAGTTCTAGAGGATTTGCAGAAATAGGACTGTTAAAAAATGACTTATTTGCTACTGAAGTCCAGTCGGCATGTATTTAAATGCCTTTTGATGCTCTGATCTTTGCTTTAGTTTCATGGCACTATGTAGATAAGTAGAAGACTTAATTCCTATTTCTATAGAGTGTAAAATTTATGCAGTTTCGTCATGTACATAAAACAATGAGAGAGCAATGCAGGACGGCCTAGTAGTGACTAGGGTAGGGCTTCTGGAGTTAGACTTGCATTAATTAATTAATTAATTAATTAATGTTTGGCTGTGTTGGGTCTTTGCTGCTGCGTGCGAGCTTTCTCTAGTTGTGGCGAGCCGGGGCTACTCTTTGTTGCGGTGCACAGGCTTCTCATTGCGGTGGCTTCTCTTGTTGCGGAGCACAGCCTCTAGGTGCGTGGGCTTCAGTAGTTGTGGCACATGGGCTCAGTAGTTGTGGCTAATGGGCTCTAGAGTGCAGGCTCAGTAGTTGTGGCGCACAGGCTTAGTTGCTCCGCGGCATGTGGGATCTTCCCGAACCAGGGCTCAAAAACGTGTCCCCTGCATTGGCAGGCGGATTCTTAACCACTGCGCCATCAGGGCAGCCCCCTGCATTTATTTTTAACCTTTCTGTGTCTTAGTTCCTTGATACGGTAAAAATTATATGAGATAATGTATGTAGAGCATTTAGCCTAGAGCCTGGCATGTGGTTAAAAGTTCAGTATTTGGTAGATAATCATAGTAATTGGGTCTAATAAAATGTTTCTTTATGCCCTTTTATTGAGAAGGGAAGGGTTTTCCATGTTCACTGCTCAGGTAGATCACTTTGAAAGAAAATTTCCTAAAATACTATTATATACCATTTCTATTTCTTTAATAAACTTTTTTTGTGATGACAGAAATATGGACCCATTGATCCTCTCTTAAAAAGTGCCTTGTTTGAAGTCAGTGTGCCTGCCTATAATTGTTTTTTTAATCCCTGTTTTTTAATAAGCTGCTTCTGTTCTGGAGAATCAGCTAACCAAACAGTGTATACAAAGGAGTCAAGTAAAGGGCCTGCAGGAGGCCTCATAAGTCAGCTCTGGGAGATCTTCAGTGTTGGGGGCACTCCAACCGCTCCCACCTTCTTGGCCGTGCTCTGAAAGATTGGGGTTTCTAGAAGTGTGGAATGTGGCTACATGAAGTGTTTGTATAGTAGGACCAGAAACAGCGAGTAGCCCCTGCATCATCTTTATTTCCCATCCGAGGTGAGCATGATGGAAAGCCTGATTCATAAGCAGGCAGGAAATGGGGGTTCCAGCCCTCATACTGTCAGGGCTGCCTCTCCACGGAATGCGGCTTTCAATGCCCTAGGAGGTCTTCAGAGCTACTGAGGCACTTTAGACCCTCCTGGGAAGAGTAAGGTGCAGAATGAGTGAAAATGAACTTACTACATCTCAACTTCATATAAGATTTTTTTTAGGTTAATAATGTTTATTTGTAAACCAACACCCACCCCCCCGACCCCCAAAAACTTTAATGGACTTTGCTTCTCGAAAGAGTGAATATTCTCTTTTGAAGGTGATGGAAATTGCATGAGTAAAGGAAAATTGCATGAGTAAAGGAAAATCTGACTGGCTTTGGTAATGAAAGAGTATAAGAAAGTCAGGATTTCTTATAGCTATTTTAGTAGGCAGAGTGCTTCCACTTTGGGAATAATGACACAAGAAAATGTTGAGATTTTCTTTGTTCCTAGTAGGATGAGTGATTTTTGGTGAAAACCTGGATCTTTTGGGTATTCTGTTATGAGACTCTGGAGTTTATTTAAAGCTTCTGTTACAGCAGGGCTCCCCTGACTCCACTCTGGTAGTTGCAGGGGGGCTCTGCCTTGTTACTACCAGGTGGGAGTGGAAGTCCAAGTTCCCCACAGACACATGTAGTGAAGTTGCTCCTCAACACTGCTAGGTGTGGGTGGGAGTTCTGGATTTTTGCTAAGCCTCTGATGATACTACCCTGGTTTGGAGGGGCAGGAGTGCCTTGTTACTGCTCCCCACGTGACCTCTCTCAACACCATGGGTACGAGGGTATCCTTATTACCTATAGGTAGTGATGAAAGTCCTAACTTTCCTCTAGGCCTCCTCTGACACACATAGTGGGGAGAGAGAAAGGTGGGTTTGGAAGTCCAGCCTCCCCACTGAGACTGGCTTTGGTAATGAAAGAGTGTAAGAAAGTCAGGATTTCTCACAGCTGTTTTAGTAGGCAGAGTGCTTGCACTTGGGGAATAACACCACAAGAAATCTTGATTTTCTCTGATACTTGTTCCATTTTGTTCTGTGTACTCCTCTCCTCACAGATTTAAATACCAAATTGCTTCTCTTACTTCACAGTTTCCACCTGGGGTCTCAGGAGTTTGCAGAGAGCCAAAAAAGCATCTGCTGTTTCCCCCACGTCTTAGATCTGGGGGCTTCTTTGTGAGCTGTTTATGTCATCATCGCTATATCTCTGGGTATTCCTAGTTGAGTTTTTAGTTTCAGCTGAAGATGGAATCTCAGAAGTGGTGGGTCTCCTCTCCCCCTGCTTAAAAACCAACATCATCTTGGAGAGTTTTCTGCTGTGATGGTTTGGGGTGACTTAATTTTTGAAAATCCCTTTTGACCTTTCTCATCTCTGCTGGGATTTTTTTTTTCTTTTCTCTTTTTTTTTAAATTTGGAAGATTTTTAAAAATAAAGATTATTATTTCCTCTGCAGATACAGAAAATAGCTTTAGTGTAACCTTGTCAGCATCAGTCTTTTATTCTCTGAACACAGAGAGGAAAAGGACGGGCAATAAAGATAAGATTCAGTTTTGTCTGCCGGAGCTGTGTGGCACTGATTAAAATGAAGCATCTTTGTTTATTTGAAGGTAAAATTCGGATTTTTGTTGGGAAATAAGTTTGCATGTATGAAATTTGGCCATTTTGACTAAACTGATCCATCAATTAGCTGGATGATGAATTGCTTTTGATTTGGGGATTAATGAATTTTAGGTCTTGTCATCAGCTTTCACCTAGCTGAGGGGCTAAGTTGCATGCGTGCTCAAAAGTGCTTCCAGAGAGCTGACCTGTCCTTGAAAAGGTCCCCACAATGGCTAGGGCACACTTCCTTCTCCTCAACTTCCCTTTTTAAACCATTATTGGAAAGATTTTTTTCTTGTTACAGTTTTTTCCCTAGCTTTATTGAAGTATAATTGACAAAACTGAGATATTTAAAATATACATCCTGATGGTTTGATATACATTGTGAAAGGATTCCTCCCGTTCTAGTTAATTAATGTATCCATCACCTCACATATTTATCTTTTTTTATAAGAACATTAAGTTCCACTCTTAGCAGATTTCAATTTTACAATATAGTGTTATCAACTATAGTCATAATGTTATACATGAGCTCCTTAGACCTTATTCATCTTACAGCTGGAAGTTTGTAAGTTTGTACCTTTTACCAACCTCTCCCTATTTTTCCTACCTCCCGTCCCTGGCAACCACTTTTCTATTCTTTTTCTATGAGTTTGACGTTTGACTTCGTTGTTCTACATATAAGTGTTATCGCGTACTATTTATCTTTCTCTGCCTGGCTTACTTCCCTGAATATAATGCCTTCAAAGTCCATCCATGTTGTCACAAACGGCAGGGTTTCCTTCTTTCTCATGGCTGAGTGATATCCTACTGTGTATAGATACCACATTTTCTTTGTCCATTCATCGTTTGATGGACACTTAGGTTGTTTCGATGCCTTGGATATTGTGAACAGTGCTGCATTGAATGTGGGCATGCAGATCTCTCTGATACCCTGTTTTTCATTTCCTTTGGATGTATAACCAGAAGTGAAATTGCTGGATCATATGATAGGTCTATTTTGAACTTTTTGAGGAACTTCCATGCAGTATTCCATAGTGACTGCGCCAATTTACATTCCGTGCCCCCCAACT